CTGATAGCTACAACAAAAGAATATCGTGCGCACATTCACCTTACCTGCACCAATCCATAGCAATTTCTTTTCGTTGCGAAAAACAAGCGCAAAGAATGTCCCTGAATCTTTTAATATTAATACCATCCTTTAAAAAAATGATCAAGTTTATATTTCAGGCTAATTTATTTTCATAGAAAAAAAATATCATAAAGAAATAATTGCGATCTTGAATTAAAAATTCCACTTTTATTTCATATTTTTATGAGTAATAAATGACGATTATAACTATAAGCAGACGAAAATTAAAAATTATTACGATTCATCATTATGATATTATTATCAATAAAACATCGATAATTCATTGTAAAACTCAGATATTCTTTACACATGATTTATTTAAATCAGATTTACAATCGATAAACAAAGGCAGACAAAACTCAAGATATCGCGGTGAGTCAAAACAAACTGCATGGCGAGAATTGAAATTGAAAGTAGACGCCAATCGTGAGTCGTGATTATTTCAATAATAATACAACAGCGTTGCGCGTGATTTTTTTCCTAATAAAACCGTAAACAACTCTGGTGCGCTAGATCGTGTTTCGCTTATAATGACGAGATGAGAAATCGGATCGGGCCAAATTCGCTCAATAATGACTCTTTTCGCATTCAAATAAAACTACATATACGCGTAATATTTTAAAATAATATTAAAAAGTTTTTTTAATTTTACTTTAATTTCACTTGCAGTGATTACAATTTTACTTGAAAATATTATATTCACATTATTATGAACTTCGATAAAAGGTAATAGATAACTAAAAAAAAAAGGACCAAAGAATAATTACAAATTGAAATGCTTTTTTTGAATATTTTTTTAAGTATTAATCGTATACGACGTATAAATTATAATTATTATAATAAATTTATTAAGTTAGGAGCTATTTCACTTCAACAAGTTAACAATTTTTGTTTGCTATGGTATGCATACTCTGAAATCGATGTTCTCTAGGCATTCAAGAACAGTTTGCGCTCGATCGTCTCGTTCATATTAAACAGCTTGCATTACAGTTTAATGAAAGCAAACAGTTTGCGTAGAGCGTTAGCGTATATTCGTGAAATTGGCAACGTATGGCAAATGTGCGGTTTGAACAGTAAGAAGTTAAAAACCAAGGATAAAACTGACACCGAATGCTACGCCTGTATACGTATAATTTTCTTATCTGTAACAATATAATAATTTAACGTGCGTAACACCGTCGCGACATAATGCGCGACGATCGTCGGCGAATTGATCTGTCGGATTTCCTGTTTCTTCGCTTTGTATTCCCGAACACTTCTCGCCGCGATTAGACGAACGATGCGGAATTATATTAATTGCAACTACAAATCACAATACGGTCTCGTGATCTCGAAGCATGAATCGAGCCACGCGGCGTGCAGACTAGCACGTAATCATTGTCGGTTTCCCATCACGTCTTTGAAAACGCTCGCAGCGAGAGAATTGGCAGAGCGCAGCTCCATCGTGTGCAAATCTCTCTCTCTCTCTCTCTC